GTGTGCAGGAGACAGTCAATCAGTGATTCTCTCTCATCATTGATGTTTCTACCTCCCTCTCCTTTCCTCTCCGAAATCAGTAAAAATATATATATTTTTAAAAAGAGGTAAAATACAAGGTGACGGAAGGACACTAGTCTTCAGGTAGTGAGCATATAATGGAGTACACAACACGGATGCTGTATTATATGCCTGACGTTTATATACTGTTGCTAACCAATGTTACCTCAAGAAATTTAATTTTTAAAAAATCTAGAGGCGGAAAAGAAAAAAAATCTAGAGGTAGAGACAACTGTTTAAAAATATACTGTCCACACCCTGGCCGGTGTGTTCAGTGGTTAGAGCGTTGGCCCACCCACCAAAGGGTCTGAGGTTAGATTCCTAGACAAGGGCATGAACCTGGGTTGCAGTCCTGGTTGGGGTGCAAGAAAAGCAACCAATCAATGTGTCCCTCTCATATCGATATTTCTCTTCCTCTCTCTCTCTCTGTGTCTCTCTCCCCTTTCCTCTCTCCCACTCTCTCTAAAAATCAATGGAAAAATATCCTTGGGTGAAGATTAACAACAACAACAATATATATATATATTTGCTTCTGTGAGAGGCAAAAAAGTGAAATTCTAATAAATTCAGGTATGGGTACAAATAGAATATCTAAGTTCAAAGTATACCGAGTTTTAATACAATTTCTTCTCAATATCTTAATACTTTTTTCTTTTTTTAAAAAAATATTTTTTTTATTGATTTCAGAGAGGAAGGGAGAGGGAGAGATAGAAACATCAATGATGAGAGAGAATCATTGATCGGCTGCCTCCTGCACACCCCCTACTGGGGATCGTGCCCACAACCCAGGCATATGCCCTTGAGTGGAACTGAACCCAGGACCCTTCAGTCCTCAGGCCGACGCTCTATCCTGAGCCAAACCAGCTAGGGCAATACTTTTTCAATGACTTTAATGATCTGGGGGGAAAACTTAATCGTTAAAAAAAACTACATAAAAATTAAATAAATACGTAAAAAATAATTTTAAAACGACATAAAAGGGGCATGTCTCACTTTGTCTTGGTCTCCAAAATGGCTTGACACAGCACTGTTTGCTCAATTCTGTATTTACTTAAAATTTTAACATTCTGATACACTGCATGGTATCTGCATTCAGCAGTTTATTCCTGCTGGGTGTTCAAAGGACAGTGCGATATAAATTCAGTATCTGGCATCGTTGGTTTTCTCGGCTTCAAGCATGTTAAACCTGGTAATTTGGCGCGGCACACACACACACACACACACACACACCCTAAATTTGGGCCCCAGGAGAGTTGCCTCCCTAGCCTCATATTAGCTTGCAGGGACATTGGCAGTGTCTGGGGACATCTGTGGTTGTCACATCTCAGGGTTCTCCTGGCATCCAGTAGGTGGAGGGCAGGGATACTGCTCAACATCTCACAATGCCCGGGAAGCACCCCTGTGCCCCTATACATAGAGAATAACTGGACTCCTGATGTAAACAGTGCTGAGGGGGAGACCCTGCCATAGAAAGTCTTTTAAAGGTTCTTCATATGGCACCTTCTGGTTTAATTTCTATTTTCCCTTGTGGAGGTGGGCAGGGGAGGGTGTTCATGGGAATATGAAATGGGGCAGCTGCTGTGGAAAATAGGATGGCAGTTCCTCAAAGAATTAAACGTAGAATTACCATCTGACTCAGCAATTTCACTTCTGGAATTCCATTTCTGTGTGTACCCCAAGAACTGAAAGCAGGACAGGGGATAATCCTCGGGACCCATGACACAGGGGGTGGGAGTGTTGTTAATACTTTTTCCTTTATATGTGTCCAAATGGCTTCGCTGATTACAATTAATATGTTGTCTCTATAATTGTATTTCTTTTTTTTAAAATATATTTTTTATTGATTTCAGAGAGGAAGGAGGAGGGAGAGAGAGATAGAAACATCAATGATGAGAGAGAATCATTGATCTGCTGCCTCCTGCACACACCCCACTGGGGACCGAGCCTGAAGAAACCTGGGCATGTGCCTGGACCTCATGGTGAATGGATCGACGCTCAACCACTGAGCCACACCATCTGGGTTGTAATTATATTTCTTTTTTTTTAAATATATTTTATTGATTTTTTACAGAGAGGAAGGGAGAGGGATAGAGAGTTAGAAACATCGATGAGAGAGAAACATCGATCAGCTGCCTCCTGCACACTCCCCACTGAGGATGTGCCCGAAACCAAGGTACATGCCCTTGCCTGGAATCGAACCCAGGACCCTTGAGTCCGCAGGCAGATGCTCTATCCACTGAGCCAAACCGGTTAGGGCTATATTTCTTATATTAAGAAATAAACTCATGCTCTGGCCAGGTTGCTCAGTTGGTTGGACCCTCAACCCATACACCAAAAAGGTTGCAGGTTCAATTCCCAGTCCTGGCACATACCTAGATTTCAGCTCCATCCCCAGATGCAATCGATGTTTCTCCCTCTCTGTCTCTAAAAAAATCAATAAAAACCTATCCTCTGGTGAGGATTATAAAATTAATTTAAAAAATAAAGTCACACCCACGGGAAAACACATCTAGCAGATTTGGACTAGTTAAGGCCAGGGTCCTGGAGCCCTGGGTTTGGGTCTGAACTCTGCAGATAGAAACCTAAGGCTTCAAACCAGCTTTGGAATCTCGTCACCCCCCATTCCCATTCAGGGTGCCCACTGGGCCACTTTGCCTGCTCACTTGTCTGTGCAGCTCCCCCTTGGAGAACCCAGGAGGGGAAGGGATATAAGGAATCTTCAGAAGTTGCACTCACCTGAAGGCTTGAAACAAATGACACCTGCCTGCTATGGGCTTGGGTTTCCCCGCCTGGGACCTGCCTCCCACCTGAGCACGGATCGCGCGGCCCAGAGTTGGGAAGACACCTGCTGGGGAGAAGCAGGTACGCGGGCTACCCCTCTTGCCCTCCCTGGGTGGAGTCTGGGGCCTTCTCACTCGCCCTCCCACTCACCCCAGGACTCCGGGGCGGCAGGCAGGAGGTCCAGCCGGCCCCTGGCGCCCGCCACCTACCGCCGTCCACTCCTGCAGTCTCAACGCCTGCCCGGCCGGCCAGGCTCTGCTCCGGGGAACAGTGAAGCCACGAGAGGGACTGCTGGGCAGCGCCACCTGGACCCTCTGGCCGGGGGTGGGAGGAGGTTATGGGAGGGGGACAGAGGAGGGCGAGACCCCCAACCCACAGACGGTGGCCGGACTCAGGTGGAGGCGGGGAGGAGGAGGCGCACTGCCGGATTCGGAGACGTCGGAAAAGCGCTGGGTGGGACCCGGGGTGTGCCACGGCCACG